AATTATTTTTTCAATAAAAATTTTTTTTAAGAAAACAAACTATGTAGCTCTATGAAAAATTTATAAAACATGGGTGACATTAAAATGACCATTCTGCATTGAAAGATTAAGACTTGAATTTTAATGGTTGAGAGGCATGTTGAAAAGTTTGAAGCATAAATCTGTATTTAAAAAATTTTAAACCAATTCTGAATTAACAAATTGTATTTCTCATTAGGGGGCTCGTATGGTTCGTGAGCTCTTTGAAATGGCCAGAACAAAAAAAGCCTGCCTTATCTTCTTTGATGAAATTGATGCTATTGGAGGTATGAATGATATTCTAGAGAACTACATTAAGATTGGGTTTCATCAGAGTTCTAAAGTGTTATATGTAGAGTTCCCTTGATACATTAATCTTGAACAAAATTTTAATGTCAGCTCTATCCTGAGCCTAATAACTGTAGGGATGTGTCATAAAGAGAGAAAGAAAACTTCATTGCAGTTTCTGAAAATCTTTACCTATGTACTTACCTAATTTCATTCACAAGACACATTTTTACACTTTAACAACTCCTCAATTAGGATGTAGCTTCAGATAATATAAGAAAGCACTGGAACATAGTTTGTGGTTTTTTTATAAAGTGTACATAAAATTAATATTTGGCTTCATAGATTTGGTGAAATACACTATTATTACCTGTGTGATGTAAGTAAGTTATTTTAACTAACCCTGAACTTACAAAGGAAAGAACTCCTGTCTTGTTTTTCTTGGGTTTTGAGGTCAGACTAACATGTTAATAAATGTTTAGTATATGTGCTGCCGAAGCGAGCACATGTTAATAAATGTTATAGACCTTGAAAACTCTAAAATTGTCCAGTAGTCCCAGACTGGTGGTGTAGTGAGTAATAATGTAATAGTAATAATCCTTAGTAGCTGAAGAAATGTCATGATGAGGCAGTTATTTAATTAACTTTGTGACAAAAATGACTTGAAAACATAGCAGACCCTGATAGACTGGAGACGGTTAGGTTACCTTGTCTTGCTTTTAGACTGGATGAGTAATGTTGGGTTTGTTAATGTTTTCAAGGCCACAGTATATTGTTGCAATGTGACAAATTATTTTTATGGTGTTGTTAGAATAGGCCTTATGATATCATGATGCTCTGAAGCTGTGGTTTCCAAAGTAGATTGTGTATAAAACAGATTGATTTTCTTTGTATTTAATCACATTTAAAAAATTTCTTGTTGTGTGTTTTAAAATACACTCAGTACACTAATGCAATATTATGTATTTATATGATTTAAAAAATGAAAATGTGTATTTGGAGGGTGTTTTTGCCTTTTCGGTTGCAGTGAGAGGCTAACATGAACCTAGAATACTCTTAATATGTAAAAATCAATATAGTAAGCTGTTGTAGTTTTAGTACATTATTAATATAGTCATAATTTTACAGTTTTGAGAAATTCTGAATAATAGTGTCTTGCATGCAAACACCATGATGGAGCTCAAGTTTGCATGTGTTTTATTGCCTACTCAGGTATATATTGTGTGAAGCAAAATGTATTTTTTGCTTCACAAAATTAATTTTCAAAGCAAAAAATCTTAGAGAATTTAAAAAAGGAGCCTATAGTAAATAAACCTATGATGAATCCTTTTGAAAGCAGAAAATCATTTTCTACTTAGATTTTTGTAAAGTAGTTTGTTCTCTTAGAATTTGCCTAAAAGTGAGACATTTTCTTGTGCTGCATGCAGGACATGATCTGAGATGAGATGTACAGTACTTTCAATTATGCTTAGTGCTACTTTACACACAAGAGTTTATTTTTTCCTTTTGCGTTCTTAGGGGCTCGTTTTGATGATGGTGCTGGAGGTGACAATGAAGTACAGAGAACTATGTTGGAACTGATCAATCAATTAGATGGTTTTGATCCTCGAGGCAACATTAAAGTGCTAATGGCCACGAACAGACCCGATACTTTGGATCCAGCACTAATGAGGCCAGGGAGATTGGATAGAAAGATTGAATTTAGCTTACCTGATCTAGAGGTGAGAAAATCATTCATTTAAGAAAAGGAATTCTTGAATTTTTTTCCTCCTGTGTTGTTTTTCCATTTTTAACACGTCAATTCCCCTATTTTAGGGTCGGACTCACATTTTTAAGATACATGCTCGTTCAATGAGTGTTGAAAGAGATATCAGATTTGAGTTGTTAGCACGACTGTGTCCAAATAGCACTGGTAAGTTGAAAGGTCTTGCTTAAATTTGCTGGTTTTTCTGGTCAGGCTGCTTTAATTAAGCCTATTAATTTTCTTTTTGTTTGAAAGGTGCTGAGATTAGAAGTGTCTGCACAGAAGCTGGTATGTTTGCCATCAGAGCACGGCGAAAAATTGCTACTGAGAAGGATTTCTTAGAAGCTGTAAATAAGGTTATTAAGTCCTATGCCAAATTCAGTGCTACTCCCCGATACATGACATACAACTAAACCCTGAAGGCTTCATGAAAACACACTTCCTTTAATTGGAATCCAAACCTTATATAGGCTTGTTAATAACCATTTACCATTTCACACAAAAAATAAATGGTTTCAAAATTGTATGCTTTTCAGATGTCTTTTTCTCTATACTACAATAAAAGCTGATGATATCTATATCATAAAGTGCTTGCTTAAACCATGTATTTCTAGGCATATGCTGGCTGTATGCTGTACATATTTTTCTTTTATCTTTTCTGCAAGATTGGAGCTAATAGATTTTGACTTTATAGATGCAAAAACGTACTTACCTAATTTACTTACAAGAGAACTGGGGCTCAAGTGCATCACCTGTACTCCTAACTTTATGTTCTTTTGCCCCCTATCAAAATAGCCTATTTAGGCCCCTGACATAGGTGTTTATGTTCTTTTTTCCCCATCATGTTGAATAATAAAATTTTGTTCATATTCTTTTAAAATAGAAGTAACTGATGTATTATTTTTTGCTTTTGCATTTGACTTGATTGCAAATTAATCAGGATTACTAATTTTAATGACCAATGAAGTAGTAAAGCAAAAATAAGTACATATACACATAATAATCTAATTTGTAAAATCCAGAATTGGCTTTATACAGATACTTATTTTCATTTCATAAATAAGTAATTTATAACTCCTGTTAAGACTTATGGTCTACAATGAAGTATTTCTAAATTAAATAAGAATCCTCAACAGATCTCTTTAAATTAATTTCTCATGCGGCCATCAAATCTCTACCCCTGCCCCATACACAATTACCTTTCTCCCTCCTACAAATATTAAGACCCAAGCACAATAAAGAATCTTTTTATTATAGTTCAACATTCATAAGTAATATAAATAGCAAGAGCTGGATAAATTTTTAATTCACAAAAGAAAATGCTGACAAGATAGAAAATACTGTGTCATATTAAAACACAGTATTTTAATACATTTAAAATACGATTGTTTTCAAGCAGATAATCCATCCATAAAATCCAACCTAATACTCATCCTTTCCTGATTTTTCATTTTTATGAAATTGATCAGAAAAAATTTTTTTCTAGTCTAGTCTTTCTTGATAGTGCAAACATTTCCAGGTTATGCTTCTAATTAAAGTACACAATTGTTACAGGCTCTGACATTTGTTAGTTACATGACAAAAATCTAACTGCCACAAATCAAATATACAATGAATTAATTGAAAATTTTTGGTGTTTCCAGGCATGTGTTTGAATAACATCAACACTAGATTAGCATGTTTGTGCTTTTTAAAAAAATTTAAATTCACTGATAATTCTACCTAAAATCTATGGGTATTGATGCATATATATGTTTACACATATATCAGGGCACTGATAAATAAGAATACAGAGATTACAATGCTGTTACAGTGAAAAACTTGGTAAACCTTTCTCAAAGGCAAGATGGATTTTTGAGACTCTTAAACTTGATTAAATCCAAGTAAGCAGGCCAGTTACCTTGTACAAAGTCAGCTTTTGAACATTTTCACTGATGTCTGAGCAGTTTCAAAATACCACATGCATTACAGTTGGCTATAAATTTGGAGAATTAGAAAATACTTTTATCAGGTCCCCAACCGTATTATCAAGGATCTAAACATACCAAATCCTCAAGGCATTCCTGAAACATATACTAAAAAGGAAAACAGCACTTTTGTACTCACTAAAGTATACAGGCTCACACCAAGAAGTTCTGTTTGATTTTAGAATTAATTTACTATCTTTAAAGGGGCTGAATAATTAAGATGTAAATGCATACCCTCTCCTTCCTTTCCCTCCCTTACCTCCCACACAAGGGCACACCCCACACCTTCCCAAACAAACATCTACCCACTGCAGGGCAGTCTCTGGGTTTGCTGCCCTCTCCATGCATACATAAGGGCAGACTCGTTCTCTCAAAAGGTACCTGTGGAGGCAGGCACTTGCACTTTTCTGTTACAAAGGATACAGGATACATACAGGATCAAACCATATGGAGTGGACATTTTAAAGGTTACCTGAAAACCATAAAATTAGCTGCTTCCAGGACTTACAAAGGTGTTTCTCTGGGTCCTACTACAGACAAGATGGAGAAACGTGATCCTACTATCAGCTGCCTTTTGATTATAAAGGGTCAAGATCTATGATATGAATCAGGCTTTTCCCGGGCCCTGGTTTCCAATTGTTTTCAAATTTCATCCATTTGAGAAAGACAAAGGACTTCTGTATGTGGAACCTTCCAGAAAACAGTTTTCGTTTATATGTTGTAAGGTTAGTCCAGTCCCTAAATCTAACTGTGGATCATACCCATTTTGACTTGTAAAACTTGACCAAGTGTCAGGAAAATTTCCACTATATGAAGTAATTCTAAGTAAAACATTCCAGCATTCTTACACATAGAATGTTTTGAAATGCACTCATTCTTAGAGGCATACTAAAACAAAAACAGTTTTCCCTTCAGTGAGATTTAAATGCTTATTTCGTACATAGTAGAATTCTATTAAAAATAGTTTAATTAAAGAACAGAAAAGTTAAATACAGATTACTAAGATTTAGACAATTTTTTTTTAATATATTACTTTCAACCTATCAACAATTAAGACTTGTGTATCTTCTGGGTAAAGCACTTGTTGAAGACTTGTTGCAATGAAGTATAACATTGTTTACAATCCTTAAATTCTACATTAATGGCTGAGATGTATGGGCCCTTTTTATAAAAGTCTAATATAAGCTGAGGTTCTACAAATACATGCTCTTTCAGAAGGCAGTCTATCAGAATGCAGATGTATCTGATCTTGTGTGTGATGATTGCAAAGAAAATAACTGGAATGCATACCTAATTTCATTCTAGATCTAAATAAAGTATTGCTTAGAAAGGAAGGGTCTCATTGAATTAAATTAGTAAAGTCATAGAGAATCCTGGCAGGAGTTAAAGGAAACAAACTATAGAGTTTGGTTTTAAGTAGACCCATGGTTGCTGAGATCTGACCACTTTTTCTCCTGGTAGTAATTTGTTCATGAAAACTAAAACAAGAAGTCAAAGAAAACATAACAGAAACAAACTACTAGCAGGAAATCTTAGCAGCAAAGGCTTTAGATGGGTTAGTAAATACTTGTACTTTGATTTAGAATTGGGAATTAGAGCTACAGACTAAGAACCCTCTATAACCAATTAATTGGTCTAAAGGTCCCCCTTCCTTTTGAACATTTCATGTTTCTATATCAACTATCAAGAGTGATTAAAATATGCATTTTACTCATAAGCTTAAAATTGGGTTTGATGAAGATAACACGGATTTCTAAGGAAGGTATTATCAATATATCTAGGAGTTAGCTTTCCTAAGAACATGGTCTTTAATACTACTTCATTATTAGCAACAACAACACTTCTAGGGCCTCCTAGTGGCCACGTTGAAACAATTTGAGCACCAAAAGAACTATGATAGACTGAAATACACCAAAGCTATAAAATTCATGAGCCTGTAAGTAAACCAAAAAGGGAAATATAAAAGAATATAATTTGTCACCATCTATTAGATGAACTGCTTATTTTGAAGTTGATAATTAAGTAATAAAATAGTCTACCTGCTTTTCCAGTAAAAACTATTTAAGGATGACCTAATCGCTCAATTTTATTAAGTAATAAAATAGTCTACCTGCTTTTCCAGTAAAAACTATTTAAGGATGACCTAATCGCTCAAGTTGAGGAGGGAAAGCCATAGTTTACATTGAAACGTCAACAATAAATGCAGAAGAAATAAGAGAATTAGAAAAAAATCACAAACCTTAATAAAATTACTGATTTATGTAAGGACTACTGATTCAATGTTTAAACTCTTTGGTGAATGACTAATGGGGAACTGAACATTCATTTAATGCCAAAGGGACATCATACAGGTAACTCACAAAGGAGAAAATGTAATGGGCGGGGGTGGGTAGGCAATCATGTTAAGCCAGTGATCTATCATAGCATGGTTAATGGAGGTCAACTAAATATCATGTGATTTCTGATGTGATTGCAATTTGAAACGTGCCTCATTTATGATATATTCTAGCAAAAAAAAAGTACTCAAATCCATAAAGTCTTTAGATAGAACTAGGAATGAGTTTTATTTATTTAAATAATTTATTTAAATAAATAAAGAACTGGGGTATAGGCCAGAGGTGTGGGCATGGGGGCTGAGAGGATTCACCATAGACAGAGTGGGCAGCAGAACAGGCAGATCTACTGAAATACACTGCTGGGGGGAGCAGCAGGCAAGACAGGAGAGATCTGCTGCACCATGTGTGTCAGCTTCCTGGCCAGGGGTTGAACTCATGCTGCAGTGGCTGTGGATAGCTTCAGTGGTGAGAGTTAACCCTTTGTACCACCAGGGAGGCCCTGCCCCAGCCCCTTTAACAAGTCAATGTAATTAAAAAGAGGGACTGTGCTAAATTAAAATAAACTTAAATGACCTAAAGTGACATGATCAGCGCTCAATCATAAAAAGGTTACCAGATTGGATAAATCTATAACAAATTTGGGGACAACTTGGAAAACTTTAATATGGTTTAAGGTAAAAAGGTTCTGAAATGGAGATCGTCAACTGGAAAAAAAAATAGGTTATGAGACACTAGACACTATGTAGGATGTGATCTTATCATGGTTAAAAATGTAAATACAAATGCATAGAAAAACATCTGAAAGGATATGCATTAAAGTTTTAACAGTAATCTGTGAATGGTGGCAATATGATCTTATTTATTTTTGCTTGCCTACTTTTTCTAGTTTTCTGCAATATACTTAAAGTGCTTCCATGATAATAAAGAGGTTATTTCAAAAGAAGCACTTCTAGAAAATTGTGGGTTTGTCCCCTCTGTTAGATAATTCTGATTATAGAAACTGTGTAGATCAGTAAGTATAAAAACAGGGTAGGTAGGTAGGCAAAATACCTAAAGGCAATAAATTCTCAAGTATTTGACTTAGAGATATAATGTTTAAAAGCAACAGAAATATCACCTTATGATAATTTCAGGCAAGAGATCAATTTATCTTTGAAATATTAAAAAAAATCCACAAGTAAGATACATCTGGCTATGTGTCATTCACCCTCCAAATCAAGCCTTGACTACTATAATACTGGCTACTTGACTACTGGTATAGTGTAGTATTTACTCCGAGGGAAAAAAAAAATCTAGGGTCTAGTATTTAAAATGTGTAAATGAGTAGTCACGAGAGGCTCATACCCCATCCCAAGCTGAGTTGCTCATCTAAGCCTCAGCAGTGTCATTGGGCTCCAAGTCCTCCTGGGGAGGGGGAGCCAAGGCTTCTTGTTCAGCAAGTGCCTCTCGAAGTTGGCTGCCTAAAACTGCATCATGAATGCTGTAGAACAGAAGCTCCATTAAGGCAGGATTTTCAAAAAATCGATTTCGAGTGAGGTCATTCACAACTTGTGCTACAAGAAAAGAAAAGAAAATTAGTTCACACTGAGTATCAATCTTAAACAAAAAAGTAATACTTTCATATAGATTAACTATTTCAAATGATATAGTAAAAAGTCTTACTCCAACAACATCCCCCATAACACCACATTCTGAGTCACAAAAAGCTCCTTTTATTATTTTTCTTGTGTATTATTCTTTATACAAATAAAAGCAAATATAGAAATACATTTTTATTTTCCCCCTTTTTAATGCCCAAAAGATAGCATGCTATAATAAGATTCTGGATTTTTTTTATATAATGGTTAAATTTTTTACCACTACGTGATAGTCAACTCTGTGGATATACTCTGGTTTATTTAACTGGTGCCTTTTGTTTGACACTTGTGTTGTTTTATTTTATAGATATTACTGTGATGATGAACCACACACGTGTCATTTTGCATATGTGCAAGTAGATAGCTGGATCTGCTGGGTTAAAAGACATTTGTAATTTTGAAGCCAATGCCCTTCCTAGGGGCTGTTCCATTTTGCACTCCCACCAGCATTGTCTCATGTCTGTTCTACAGTCTGCCTAAAAAGCATGTCAAATATTTTTGATTTTTGCCATTCTGCTAGGCAAAAACTGATGTCTTTATGTACACTTTATTTCAAGTAGTGTTTTAGCCAAAATTTAATATAAAACAAAAATAGCAGAAATTGTGTCACAAAATTGATAAATGATATTAGGTAACTGTGTTTATAGCTGTAATAAAATAGTTACTAAAAAATAAACCTGGCCAGAAGATAGTTTTATTAGCTCCTTTCCTGAAATTGCAGTTTCAGAAGCCCACCACAAGTACCCTAGTAAGATAAATGCTTGTAAGTGGTTAATTACAGAGTTAGCTTTTATTTTTTATTTTTTAAAAAAGATTTATTTATTTACTTACTTATTTATACAAGCACTGGGTACAGTCAGAAGCACAGGAGGGTGAGAGAATTCATCAGAGCCAGAGTGGGGAACAGAACAGGCAGACTGACGAAATACACTGCTGAGGGGAGCAGCGGGCATGGCAGGAGAGGTCTGCGCACCATGTGGGACCCTCACCTAACCGGTGGCCGGGGATCTAACCAGCGCTGTAGAGGCTGCGGGCAGCTTCGCAGCCCAGCGCTCAACCGTTGCACCATGAGGGAGGCCCCAGAGCTAGCTTTTAGAGTGATTTTCAGAATAATTTCATTTACACCAAAAACTAAAATTAAGGAAAATATTTCTAAATGCAATTACTAAAAGGGAGAAGCGAAACCAAAATGTTAAAACTTCTCCCCATTCTGGAAGTATACTCACCACTGCATCCTGCTAAATACACATAAATGCCGACATCTCCATATTCTTTTACCATCTGTAATGTTGAAATAAATTTAGTTTGTCTTGATTTTGTGCTAGAAGCAAGTCTCTTTTTACCAATATGTATTCAGTGATTTAGGATATTCTAGCTCATTCACTTGAGTTACTCTGCTTCAATAATTATGCGTTTTGAGTTAATCATTTAAAGATAATTTTGTATTTTTTATTATATGGACAGTAGTAATTAGATGTATCAAATGATTACTATTAAATTTTACTTAGGTGTTACATAGGTATTACAGTAATGATTTGAAAAAGGAATCTTCTTATAGGGCTATATAAGCTGAAACATTTACAGATGATATAATGACTGATATGTGCTTCAAAATAAGAGAAAGGGAAAGTGAGTAAGAGGACCGTAAATGGATAATTGTTGAAGCTGAGTTACAGCTACATAGGGTTGATGCTATGTTCTTTAATGTTATGTATTTTTTTAAATTTCCAAAGTCAAAAGTTGAAAAAAAAAAAACAAAGAATTTTAAGAATTAAAGGGACTCTTGTTGAACTCTCATTTTACCAGTCATGAAACTGGACATAGAGATATAAAATGCCTTGTTTATGATGATGCTTACCCCTGCTATAGTTTTTACACCAACAGAATCAATAAAATTGACTTGCGTAAAATCCAGAATGATAGTGTGCACATTTTCCCCTGGGGGCAGGAATCGTTGCATTTCTTCAGGAAATGTGCTCTTGGTAACAATTGGGGGGTATTTTACTTCATCGTCTTCTTCAGGCTTGGTGCCACCTTCTCCATCTACTTCTGCATCCTATATAAAAAATAAAATCAAACCAGAGTGCTATGAATGATATATAATATTCAGTTGTCTCAGTTTCTTCTCTTGCTTTTTTTTTTTTAAAGATTTATTTATTTATCCATACAAGAACTGGGGTACAGCCCAGAGGTGTGAAGGGTGAGAGGATTTACAAGAGACAGAGTGGGGAACGGAACAGGCAGATTAACTGAAATACACTGCTGAGGGGAGCAGTGGGCGAGTCAGGAAAGGTCTGCTGTGCCATGTGAGTAGCTCCCTGGCTGGGGATCGAACTCACGCTGCAATGGCTGTGGATAGCTTCACAGCTTGCGTCTTAACCGCTTGCACTACCAGGGAGGCCCTCTTCTCTTCCTTTATATTGCATGTGTGTTAAACGAAATCTACTTTTTAGTATTTTAATCATTTCCCCCTAACTTTTATTTTTTATTTTTTAAAATTTATTTATTTATACAAGAACGGGGTATAGGCCAGATGCGTGGGAGTGTGAGAGGATTCACCAGAGACAGAGCGGGGAATAGCACAGGCAGACTGACGAAATACACCGCTGAAGGGAGCAGCGGGCGAGACAGGAGAGGTCTGCCGTGCCATGTGGGACCCTCGTGGGCCAACCGGGAACGAATCAGTGCTGTAGAGGCTGCGGACAGCTTGACAGCATGGTGCTTAACTGCCTGCGCCACAAGGGGAGGCCCCCACCCCCCGCCCCTAACTTTTAAAACAGTTCCAATTACTTCAGTATGACAGGCCATAAATCACCATAAACCTGAATGGCAAACTCCAGCCCTTTAACATTTTTACTTCTGAAATAAGTAACCACTGAATTCATTCAGTTGAATGAATCCAGGACAAAGTACTAATGGTGACATTTATGAAGATATAGTAAGTCCTCTCAACATCATTGTTAGGTTCTTAAAAACAAACTTAAAGCAAAATGATTTTTTTTTGACAATTTTACTGTAGGGTAATTGACATACATTAGAGTTTAGTTCCTATAGCAAATATCTAGTGACAAGAACATGACCAAAACTCTAAGTGAAGAAACAAAACACTTCTAATATTAAACAATAATTTGTATTTATTTATTTGTTTGCTTATTTATTTATTTATTTATTCACTCACTTTCCAACTGGCTTAGTCCAGTTTTGGGTGGCAAGTGACCAGCACCTACCCTAGCAGCTTAGAGCACAAGGTGGGAACTAACCATGGATAAGGCACCTTTCATTGCAGGGTACATCAAACACACATCACACTCACTCATACTGGGACAATTTAAACCCACCAATGAAGCTAATGTGCACTTCTTTGGGATGTGGAGGGAAACCTGAGTACCTGGGAGAAAACATGCACAGACATAGGGAGAACATGAGAACTCCACACAGCTGGGAATCTAATTTTTTCTTATTAACATTATAACGAAATGATGTTGAAGAAAGGATGTTATTTGAGGACCTGATGTACTGTGTGATTTCACTTTTTTCTTTTAAAGATTTATTTATTTATTTATACAAGAACTGGGGTACAGGCCAGAGGTGTAGGAGGGTAAGAGGATTCACCAGAGACAGAGTAGGGAGCAGAACAGGCAGAGAGACCAAAGACACTGGGGAGGGGAGCAGTGGGCAAGGCAGGAGAGGTCTGCCGCACCATGTAGGTATCTCCCTGGCCGGCCGGGAATCGAACCTGTGCTGCAGAGGCTGTGGAAAGCTTCACAGTGCTGCACTCAACCCGCTGTGCCACCAGGAGGCCCGAGATTTTTACTTTTTAAAACAATGTTTTCTTGGGCTCATTTCACTACTTATTTCAGAAGCATTCTCATAACTGACCTTATTCCAAACCTTAGATTCTTTCTAAGCTTTCCTATTTTAGGAACTTCATGCTATGTGAAAATTCTGATCCTGAATAAAGGTTGGCAGGGGCACTGCAGATCAACAGAGAAGGGAAAATTACAACAAAGTCACCACTTACCGCTTTGACAATGGTTGCATTGGCCATATTTGCATTTCCCACTTCCTTAGCATACTTCCTCATGGCCTTTCTTCTTGCTCCCATTATGAGTGCTGGGTTCACGCCAGTCTTCACAGAAAAGCAATACAAGCAAAATCACTTCATGGCTCCCAGGGACACACTCAAAAGCAAATGATCTTCAATCTCCCCATATGACCATTTTCTATGTCAAATTATCATCCAGCCCTGCTCTACCTTTCCCTCATTAGTAATCTTTCTTATGCTTGGCTTCATTCAAGACAACCAGAAGCTAAAATATTAAAGAAAACATTTAAGTGGGTTTTTTTTTTTTTAACTTTCTCTTTCAGATTCAATATTTAAGAGCCTCTGGGTTGATTGGGAAGTTTTTCTAAGTACAAGACAATGTATGGTTGAGTTCTAATCATGATCCAAGGAACCCACATGGTCCCAAAAGAAACCAAAAATTATTCTATTCATAAATATTTTTGGAAAAGGTAACACTTCACATACAAAAGGGAGATTGGTATTAGTTACAAAACAGCAAGAATATACCAAATACCATTCATTGAATTGGACCTTTGAAAATGGTTAAGCAAGACATTCAAGTGACCCTCACATCCCGCCCCCTCCTTAGAAATAACCACTCTGAATCTCTTGAGACTCACTCACCTTTCTTTTCAGTGCATTGCTATACAAGTCACTATTTGCATAATAAATAGGAGCATTTATTTGGAATATTTTTATTCCAGGAATTTCTCTGACCTGCGAAATAAAATATCAGTGATTTTAACACATGAAAATGTTTCAGAATCTTAATAGAATAACAACACATCAAACAAGGAAAGAGAAAAATTTAGTTCAACTCATAGTAATAAAGTGAGTATCAAACAAAATGAAGAAACAGAGGGATATATCCCAAATGCTAGAATGAAACAAAGCCCCAGGGAAAAATCTTAATGCACAGAATTAGAAAAATGACCAGAAGAAGAGTTAAAACTAGTAGATCTAATCATGCACACTAAAGTTAGGAGAATAATCAGTGAACAAAATGAGAACTATGACAAGAAAAGAGAAAATTTCAAATAGAAATAACAGGCCTAAAGAATATAATAACGGATTCCAAACAGTAAATTGAAGTTTGGGCTTTTTACTTTAGCCACTATCTTTCATTCCCATTATTGTCCTTGGTAAAAATAATATTTAGTTAGCCAAGCACATCATATGCTTACATGATTTAAAATGATTAAAAAAAAACAACTTACCTCCTCAAATGCATCTATATCAATATATACATCAGTATCAGGAAGCTGTCCAAGGACTTTGTAGCTGGGACTAAAGATAGAGAATGTGTTAAAATATTATTGTGTTGAGGTGCAGTATGTGATTAACATGAGATTTTGTGCATTTACATGTCATATATGGCATTACTAGTGAATTCAGGAATACTTCTTCTTTATATAGTTCCTTTGCAGAAGGGGCCCATGTATATCACATACTCTATGCCATTCCAAGTCAAACACACACCCACACACTCCCCACTGCCCCCTCCTCATAAAACACATGCACAATAATATACTTCATACCATACGGACTACACACAGTCACACCATACACAACATACTTTTCACATACACAGTATGCTCATACCATACATACCACACCATACTACCTACAAACCACACAATCATTTGGATCAGGACAAAGGCTTAAGCATTTAAAAATGGATAGAAAACTGTATTGAATTCAAGTCATTCCAGGCATACATGGAACTCAAGTTCTCATACCATTCAATAGATAGTGTTCCTTTGTGTTTCTAATAAGCCTCTGACACATGTGGGCTGGGGTCAACTGAGGACATGGGGAGAAAATAAAAATCTAAAATTTATATTGTTTTCCTAAATTTGATTTGAATAGATTTTAAACATTTTTGAGAACCCTGATTCCTCTTATTAGGACAATCTGATTCAAATTAGACTCCCACATGTAATTAAGGGTGACAAACATTATTGCGACAAAAAACATTAACATTTGCAACATTTTTTATGAGGAAAATGCTCACTTTACTCTGGAAAATGGGGTACATTTCATCATGCTGCAGGTAAATATCAACATCCCCATTAAGTAGCTTACAACATACCACAGTCAAAATTTTAAGAATCATCATGTGATTTGCAATTACAGCAAAACCAGACTAATATCATTTTCTTATTGGGTGAATAGTGTGGGCGGGACACAGTACAAGGCTCTTTGCAAAAATTATTCTCATTTGGACCTTACTGCAACTCATTGAGGTAGCAAGTATTAGTCCCATTATGTAAATGCAGAGAATGAGGCTCTGAGAGACTAGTCAGTTTATAAGGGCTGCAGCCAGACTTGAGCCCAGAGGTGCTGACTCTAAAGTTAGGCAATTTCTATATAAACACAATGTTTCTTTTTTTATGGTGATTATCATGAATGTCTTTTTTTAATGGTAATTTCTTAATTTATCATGAATGCAGTATTTTTTAAAAAGTTACTCTATACCTTCCTCAGTTTCCTACTAGGGAGAAGAGATGATAAGCAGTAATGTTTAAATGACATGTATGATAACATGGCATCAGAGTCATCAAAACCCATATTGACACCCAGCACCAAAGCAAGTTGCAAGAACATACTGTTCATTTAGAAAAGCCTAAGTAAGTCTATGTACCACTGGATCCCAAATGGCAAGAACAATGAAGGAAATTAGGCTCTTTTAAACAAAGTCATTGGTGGAAGTATAATACTGTGACATAATAGAGCATCTGGCAAGGTTTTACTGAATTTTTTATTTGGCATTTGTTTAGTTAACAGGACACATGAGTCTTCAGTTCCCTTTCAGTTGATTAGAAATAACCAAAGGGCTCCACCTTTGCCACTTCAAGCTTCGGCCTGTATTTAAAGTCCACATTGTAATCTCAGGTGAGATCCTCACACCCAACCCAATCTGTGCGCTTACCTCTGTGTCCTGTAAATCACAGTCAACAGTGCAATGATCACAGCTGTAATCAAACCATAGTCCAATCCCAGGAACAAAGAGGAAACAAAAGTAGTCAGCCAGATGGTCTAAGCAAAAGACAGAAAGCTTCATGGAGAATCCTGTTAAAAATTGCCTAAGAGTTAAACTCACATGCACAAAGCTACGTTTACATGTCTAATTGGATACTGCATATGATAACTAACCACTAACTCATCTTTCTCATATATTTATCAGCAGAAATCAATGTGTTGCTATGACATATTCACCTAACAATCACCTTTTTTACTTACTAGCTCTATTTTGCTGGTTCTCCAGAAAAAGGGGAGATCAGAGAATTGCATGAACATTCCTTTCAGGTTGACGATCACAATGGCCGACAGCACAGCCTGAAACACAGAACATCCGTACATGCCCCTCCTCTTGTGTCCAAAGAGCCCCATTTGCTGGCTCCTCACTGTTTCCTGCTCCCCTCCCCATGCCTCTCCATTCTCACTTCCTGTGTGGTAATGATGGTACATTAGGAGCCATGAACACCTGGATTTTCAGGACTTGGTTAGCTAAAATGGGCCTTGGAAAACCAAACTTATATCCTAGTAGCAAACCTGCATGGTGGTCAAGCAGTTCAGAATTAAACTTGGTACTCAGGAATTACTTCATCTTCCTACATTATGATTGTCTCTATCCTAAATTGTTTCTGATATGTACTATAATAAATATGTCAATAAGCAAATGTCTTATGTATGTAGGTCATCTCAGATTTTTTAATGGAAGTATAAAGTCATAGCAGATCAAAGAGAGAAGAGGCCTTGGAGATCAGCTAGTTCAAACCCCCACTTTACAAATAAAGAAACAGACCCAGGGATGTTGAGATGGCTTTCCCAAGGCCCTTTTGGGGCAGCTGCTGGTAGACTGTGGAGCAGGATGTGGTCCTAGCCTTGGCCCTTTCTTATACCACCCTACTAGTATTACATGAAAAAATCATGAGATAGCCACAAAAACATAAACAAAATCTCTATACATGGAAAAACCTCTTATCAAGTCCAAGCTACACACCTGGGGTAATGATTCAAAAAGGAATCCGGTGGCTAATATGACCAGCAGAATCATTAACGAGGCCAAACATCCTGCAAGCTGAATGAGAAAAGACACATGGAAGGGGCTTTAAAAGACTTGATTAATTGGAGGAGCATAACTGGGTATTCTGATTATCACTGTGGGAAGATCAAGAAACTATGGATTCCGAGCTTCCCTGGTGGCACAGGGGTTAAAGTCTCAGTGCTATCAAGCTATCACCAGCCACTATGGCATGAATTTGATCCTCATGGGTTTGATCCCCAACCAGGGAGCTAACCCACATGGTGCAGCAGACCTCTCCTGACTCGCCTGCTGCTCCCCTCAGCAGTGTCTTTAGTTCGTCTGCCTGTTTTGCTCCCTGCTCTGTCTCTGGTGAATTCTCTCACCTCCCCCCCATACCTCTGGTGTATACCCCAGTTCTTGTATGCATAAATAAAATAAACCTTTAAAAAAAAGAAAGAAAATATGGATTCCAATAGTCACCCAAATCTTTACATAAGCCTCTACGACTTTCCGCACCCTTTCTGAAGTTTTGTTTCCTCTTAAAAGTTTTTATTTTTTTTATTTATTTATTTTTTTCTTTTATAGAGGCATGTTTTATTTATTTATTTGTTTGTTTGTTCGTTTGTTTCGTTTTTTTTATACATGCACTGGGTACAGTCAGAAGCGCGGGAGGGTGAGAGAATTCACCAGAGCCAGAGCGGAGAGCAGAGCAGGCAGAAGGACCGAGGTACACTGCTGAGGGGAGCAGCGGGCGGCAGGAGAGGTCTGCGCGCCATGTGGGACCCTCCTCCGGTGGCTGGGGAGCAGCCGGGGATCGAACCGGCGCCGCAGAGGCTGCGGGCAGCTTCGCAACCCAGCGCTCAACCGCTGCGCCACCGGGGAGGCCCCCTTCTTAAAAGTTTTTAAACAAAAGTTGAAACACTTCAATATCCTGACTGAAATGCCTTGGCTGCAGGTATGGAAGAGAGATGTTTAGTGCTGACCTGAAACCCTCAAGAGTCAGAAAAGTTCAGATAAGACTGCTGTCCAGTGTGGTAGCCACTGGCCACATGAAGCTATATTTTTTAAAAATTAAAGTTATTTTATTTTGTATATTTGTTTGCACTAGCCACATTTCGCAAGCCTAAGAGCCCTATGCTGCTAGTGGCTACCATATTGGATGGTGTAAATATTGAATATTTTCCTCATTGCAGAAAGTTCTATTCGATAGTGCTGGCATCCTGGCCATACCCAGTCTCAGGTTTTCATGACAATATCCTATGATGAACTTTGAAGTTTACTGGTCACAGGGAGTGTTGTATAATTCCCCAATATAATTGGAGGATATGCCTCTTTCATACAGTTTCAGTTCCTTGCAATTCACTTCAACCAATCATGCCTTTCTCTGATTTACCACATGGCTCACTGGAGCATGGATCTTCAGGCAGTGCAGATTTCAGCATTAAGAATGGAATAAAGGGATTAAAGTTTAATTCCCCAAGTCTCTACTCCTTACAGACCAGTTGTATACATACCTGAGTCTTCCCTCCAGTTCCCTCCTGAACAAGGCTTCGAGACAAGGAACATGAAATTGAAAAAGTCTGGAAGAGTGAGCCAATAGAATTGCACAGTCCTAGAGCAATGAGTTCCTTTCCCATATGGAAACAAAGCACAAAAGAGATCAGTTATTCCTCAGGAAGCAAAGAGACAATGGCTCATTGAATACACTTTTCCAGTTGTATAGATTGTCACTATTCTCTTTTCAAATATAGGAATTTGTTTGGCATGAATAAAAAACAGGAATTATTGTATAATTTAAGGTGGAGAAAAAACAGTTTGAATCTTCATTGTTGTAGATAAATGCTGCATTTACCACTCAGCTCTCTGCTTCCCACAATCTTTACACAAATAATGCCCTTAAAAAAGAAAAAGGGGCCTCGCCAGTGGCACAGTGGGTTGAGTGCCACTCTGTGCTGTGAAGCTGTCTGCAGCCTCTGCAGTGTGGGTTCAATTCCCGGCTGGCCAGGAGAATCCCATATGGCGCGGCAGACCTCTCCTACCTCACCCGCTGCTCCCCTCAGCAGTGTCTTTGGTTCGTCTGCCTGTCCTGCTCCCCACTCTGTCTCTGGTGAATTCTCTCACCCTCCCATGCCTCTGATCTGTACCCCAGTTCTTGTATAAATAAATAAATCTTAAAAAAATAAAGAAAAATAAAAGAAAAAGAAATCTGCAGCAAAAGGGACAAAACATTTTTTCTGTTTAAGGGGAAGTTATTGGTGGACTATTGGCACCTTTCAAATGCCAGGGGTCTTGGTCACCAATGAGTACATGCCAGTGCCCTCCTGGGACAGTGAGTGAGCCCTGCTCTCAGGCTACTCCAAGTCTTCCTAGTTGTATCAGAGTGTCTTTTATGAATGTAGAACATCTAGTCTCCTCTAACAAATATAAAGCATGTTTTGATATTGTCTTGCCAAAATTATAGCTCACGGTAATTGCATTAAACACCCTATCTATCGGTTATAAAAAAGGGTAGCAAAGAGAATATTGTGGTTTGAATGATACACTAAAAGCTCAATGAACAAAGAAAAGACTTCCTGTAGAGAAAAAATGGTTCTGGAAAGACATTTTATTCTCAGTCTGTGAGCATTAAAAACGGGGATAGCAAGTAAAGGAGTCTGGCAAACTTCAAGCCTCAGATTGTAGATTTCACCTTTCTAGCTGGAGTCCTGTCCATGAGGTAGTTCAGAATCCTGAACTTCAGGATTCTGATTTCATGCACATAAATCTTAAAAACTTACAATGTTGAATAAATATAGGCTTCAACACATCCATCCTAAAACTAAAAGTTTTCGACTAAGACCATGAGATCTAGTTCATTTGTCTTCCAAAACAGAGCATGAAGACTGTATTACTAAGAAATATCTCCAGGAAACTGATTTTTACCTGATTGCCATCAACCTGGTAGCCATGTTTAGTTGCCAAGGTCTTGGCCATTGAGATGGTCACGGAAAACCCAACGATGGCTATAGCAATGGCATCCACATACACAAGGTGGAAGAGGCTGGTGTCTGGATTGGCTGGAGGCAGCAGCCTGGAAGGTCAACTTGACTTTAGTCTGATGGTGTGACCACTGGGAAAAAAATGCAACTAGAGGAAGCACTTTAGAGGGGTGTTATATGCAAATGAGCCAACAACATTGGATGCTTGTTTGCTTTGGTTTGTCAAACAGGAAGGCTCTCCTTCATCCAGAGGTTTTTTCCATGCTCCTCCTTCAGAGTGCTGGTTTTCTAACAATTGTGTTATCAAGCAGGGGTTAGATGCCATTTTGTTTAGAAAATGAGTAACCTCATACCTTATTCATCATACCTAACGGCACCCCAAATGGTAGGTGTAACTAAGACAGGACAGGAAGAAGAGAGGGTCAGCGAAGTGCCCAGGTGCCATGAGACATTTGAACCGGGCCTCCCCTGGGGGAGCAGCGGTTGAGCGCTGGGCTGCGAAGCTGCCCGCAGCCTCTGCAGCGCCAGTTCAATCCCTGGCCACCAGCAAGGGTCCCATATGGTGCGCAGACCTCTCCTGGCACGCCCGCTGCTCCCTTCAGCAGTGTACTTCGTCAGTCTGCCTGCTCTGCTCCCCGTTCTGGCTCTGGTGAATTCTCTCACCTTTCCGTGCTTCTGACTGTACACAGTGCTTGTATAAATAAATAAATTAATTAAAAAAAAATTTGAACCAAAGACTATGGGCAAAGAGAGTGTTGACAAGGGCTACCTTACCAGAGAATTAGTGTATGAGCAACAGTAGGTACTCACTGCTCTCCCCTGTAGTTTCAGGTAGGGTTCAGTTCTTTAATTCTTCCTGTGATCCCTTGAGTTTCTAATATGGGAAGGAGCAGCAGAAGATTTTATTGCTTGGGTCTTACCTGAGAATCCTGGGAACCCGAAGGGGCCAGAAGTGTGATTCCTGGAGTCTCACAATGGGAAACTCAGTTTTTTGGGTTCCTTCTATGGTTTGAAACTTTTTCCCTAAAGGAACAGAAGAGAGGGTCCCTAGAGTGGTATGGGGAAAGGACCAACAGAGGTTTTCAAATATGCTCCAATCTGCATTATACATTGGGCATAATAATAATAACACCAATTAGTTAATGCACAGTATTAATTATCATTACAGTAATGATTGTTTATTGTGCCCCTTCTGTGCCAAGTGATGTGACTGTTTATCTCCAATAGCCCTGTGAGGTAGGCATCATTATCATCCCCATATTACAGATGAGGAAACTAAGGCATAGTAAGGTTAAACAACTTGTCCAAAATCAAACAGCTCATCTACTATGTATACAATAAGGACCACAAAGAACTCACCTCCCTGTGCCTATTTCTCTTACTATGTCATAGCATGATGACAAAGTGATGCTCAAATTCTGGGCTAAGGGAAGGGGAGGGGAGAAAGGAAAGGAAGTTAACAGATATACTAAGCTTAGTTTATGAGCTACATGCTTGAATATGGTATTTCATTTGTCCTCACAACAATCCCATTAGACAGGTGCCATATATAACAACATATAGATGGAAAGTAGATGCCCACAGACATTAAGTGATCTATACAAGCTGAAACAGGGAATCAAACCAGAAATTCTGACTATAAAACTTATCGTTACCTTGTACTTTGCTGTCTAAGCATTTAACTGAGAGGAAAGGTCCAGCATCAGGTTGGGGTCTGAGGAATATGAGAAAAGGGTGCATTTTGATTGAGTTAAGGAAATCAAACCAAGAAATAAGAAACAGGATATACTACTACAACCTGGATCTTTAACAGTCAACTGTCACTTTCTGGACACTGTCTAGTATCTGTATCTACAAGTGTGGCAGTCTGCCTTCAAACAGGACCACCAACCATCCCCCCCACTCTTCTGCTGTTCCTATTTTCCTTCCTGTTGAATCTGGGCTGATCTTTGATTTTCTTTAACCAACAGATGGGGTAGAAGTGAAGTTGTACGAATGCCTCAAAAGGCCCGGCTGCTTCTGCTTTCCTTTCTTGTCCTGAGGACAACCAGTAAAGAGGGCTGGCTGTCCTACAGTCAGCTCTCAGCTGCTCCAGTCCTCAAGCTGAGATGTCAGACAATTGAGTGATGCCCACTTGGATCTTGCAGGACCACTCACAGTTTCAGACATCTTTACTGCATGAGACACTCTGATGAAACCAGCAGAATCACCACCTGGGTAAGTCCAACTATTTACTTGTGAGCAAATAAACGTATGTCATTTGAAGCCACTATTTTGCAGCAGTTTGTTATTCAGTAATACAGAGATAGTAGGTAAGCATTACTTGTTATCTGCTTTGTTTTGGCAAAGTTCCAGAAATAGTGTTTCTGGATAGCCAAATTCCAGAAAGGTAAAATGTTTTTAATTAAAAGAAATGTTCACCTCGCACATATAGAGGGAAAGCATCACCTCTGAGTGTAATGAAGTAAGGAAAGGAAGGTATTAGGCAGAAATGCGAATTTTTAAAAGGAGAAATCTATTTTTGATTAGTTATTGAACAGGGTTATCCATCAGATCCAGTCAAGGACATGTTTATCAAATGACTGATCATGTTAGAAACCCAAGTTGAGGTAATAGAAAGAGCACACAACCGAGTATCAGAAGACTGAGTTTTGGGTCCAGGCTGGGAATAGCTGGTGAATCACTAACCTCACTTACACCTCTCAAATGTCACCTTCTCTGATACTTTCTGCCTACAACAGCAACTCCAGCCCCTGCTGTCCCTTACCTGGCTTCCTTTTATAGCACCTGTATTTGCTTACTGGTGTACTGACTGACTGTCTTCTCATAGAATATAAGCTCCATAACAGCAAAGACTTTTTCTACTTGTATGACTAACTGCTGTGTACCTGGCATATAACGGCTATTTAATAAACACATGCTGAATAAATGAGACTAAATGAACTTTCTCATCTGTAAAATGGGGCAACATATACCTCAATAGTGTTATTCTGAGTATCAACTGAGATGATGAGTATAAAACTATCTCATAAATTTTAAGTCTGAATAGAAAGGCAAGTGATGTTACCTGTTATATATACTTTCCATGGAATCATTATAAAAATTTATTGTTTTGAAGTAGAAGGCCAGATTACTCCTTCAACATTCCTCCATAGGTGAATATGGCTCAAAGAGCAAGCAATGATCCCTCTGCTCTCCAGAAGATTTTTAGATGGGAATAGAGGCAAGGCTTGATGGAACATGCCAAGGTCTGTTAATATTCAACATCTGGGCAAATGGCTGACTCCATTCTTTGGGTAATAGAGAAAAGGGTGTTGAATGAAAGATAAGAGATATTACATGACATAGAAAGACAGAAACACCCAGCGAGAGATAGAGTGACAGCCAGAGAGTGTCACAGAGGGACATAAGAAGACCAGGAGAAACTGTAGTCACTCTTGCTCTTTCAAATATTAAAAAAAAAAATTAAAAAGTAGAGCTAGATGATATAGATGAAGATTATATATGGTTTGAAACTAGAAAACTGACTGAAATAATGAGCCACAGAACTTTCCGTGAACATGGATAACTGCTTACCTGTTAGTCGGGAACTACTGGAGCTGCATTATTTCCTGCAGCTCTCACAACCACCATGAGGTAGGTATTAATTACCAAGCTTACCTGGCAGGAGAGGGAACTGAGGCTTTTAGTAGTAAGTGACTCACTTAACGTCACATAGCTAGTAAGTGGTGGGCTAGATTCAGGGTTCTTTGCTCATAACTCTTATGCTACCCAAGGAGAGATTTTTAAAAAATCTGTACCACCCAAACAACAGGAAACTAAACCACATGCCACTGTCTGCAAGATTGTAAAATGGTGCAGCCACTATGGAAAACAATATGGAAATTTCTCAAAAAATTAAAAATAGAAATGCCATATGTTCTAGCATCCCACCTCTGGGTAATTATCTAAAAGAACTGAATGTAGAGCCCAGAGAGATAGGCACATATCCACATTCATAACAGCACTAGTCACAATAGTTAAGAGGTTAAGAGCAACCCAATGTCTACTGGTGGATAAATGGATAAACAAATTTTGATATATACATACAGTGGAATTTGATTCAGCTTTAAAAAGGAAGGAAATTTCTGTCATATGCTACATATAACATGGATCAACCTTAGGGATATTATATTCAGTGAAATAACCCAATCACAGAAAGACAAATATTGTAAATGATTCCAGTTAACAAGGCTACTTAGTCAAACTGAAAGAGACAAAAAGCAGAATGGTGGTCACCAGAGACTGGGTGAGGGGAGAATGGGGAGTTGTTTAATGGGCATAGTTTTCATTTTGCTACACAAAGAAGTTCTTAAGATCTGTTTCATAACAACGAAAATACACTTAACACAAAGTGTGCACTTCCAAAGAACAATATGGTAAATGTTATGTTACATATATATATTTTACCACAATAAAAAAACCCACACATGCCAGAAAAAAATACCCTGAATTTTCAACTATTTCATAGAGGAAAAAAAAGGTTACTTTTCATTGCAGAAATCAGAAACAATAATAGATACACTGATTATTCAAGTCACACTATTATTTAAAATAAAACTATTTTCCTACCCCAGAGGAAGTGTGCCAACGACATCCACACTGTATGATTCTTTCAAGTTAAAGCCAGCTGAAATGCTAGTTCCCATCACCACCTGAAACAGACACAAATCCAAATGTACCTTTGTAAATGAAAATTCAAACACCATAAAAATGAGCTTCAAAGAATGTTAGCCAAACCAAGTCTATTCTCCCTGTTAACATTCAGTATTAGAACAGAAAAACTGTAGTTAGCTTCCAGCAACTCTAGCTTCTTTTAAATGTCTCTACCCCACAAAATGTAAATGGTCTCTACAGTTTCCCTTGTGGCCTGGAATTCTTTACTCCTTGCTTTCTTGTGTTCCATGCTGAGGTGTTCAGTTAGTTGACTGCAACAGAAGGAGTCCATTCGACCTTTCAGGGGTTGGCTTTGCATTTGGGGCAGATGAAATAGTTTCTGGCCAAGATGGTGTGAGCAAAGGATACTGAAATGTGGATTGTGTGCTGGTATAATGACAATGTATCATTATGAAATACGTTTGGATTCACAGTCTTCCTATTGACCCTGTTTTCAGGACAGCAGCACCCAGTGTGGTTACAGATCTCTCCACTCCACAACAGGTACAGGGTCAGGGTGAAACTGTACGTAAGGTCAGAATGTCACTATACATAAGGCTACCTGGGTTTTTAGGGCATAGGTTTAGCTGGTGTATTAAGTGCAGTCCTTACTGAATTATAAGAAGAGAAAAATAACAGGAGAGGCAGCAGTTCTTTTCATCCCAAGAACTATTACTATAGAACTTTCTTGAGTGACTTATTTACAAGAGAAGAAATTAGGGCTTGCCAGGAAAGGGAGCCAGGCTTTCAGTAGCAGCTGTGGCAGGGAACCGATAATAAGGTGAGCTTATTATCAGAAATCAAGAGCATGGTTGCTTCTGGCTCTTTTGATGAAATGCCCTATTTTTGTTGGTCACAATTACATTTGTCACCTTTAATTGCATTTATTGTACAAATCAAACTGGGGGAATGCCCAGAACATTCACACCCACAGGATAAATATGGCTTAATTTTCTGGGGCATCTGCTTTATGCAGTGGTAAATAATTTAAACTGTTGTTTGCCTACCAACACAAACAGATGAGATAGGCTTTAAACTCAAAAATATTTATTATAAATAAGAAATTTTATGTTTAAAGGTAGTCATAAAGACTCTGTTCCAAACTTCCCAGTATGAGTTCTCTCTCTCTCTTGCTCTGAGGAGCACTGTTATCATACTTTCCAGGATGAAACCTGGAGAGCCATCCTCCTGGGAAACATGAAGGGCTATGTAAAGGGAATCTGGAAAATGGACAGTACCAGTAACACAGCCAGGAAAGGCAAACTTCACCATTTACTTCATATTTAGGGTTAGCTTTGCATGCATGGCAAAGAAGCTGGGAGCCTCTTGTTGTTCTCCAAGAGGAAACAGGAACCCAGTGAGACAGCAGGTTTTGAAACTGCTAGAGATAGTCCTGTTGGGATGCAGACAACACCAAAGCAAGGAAAAAGATCAAAGGGACTGTCTTCACCATGATCTATACCAGCTGGTTATTTTTTAAAATTAATTTATTTACATATATTTTACATCATTGTTCATTTTAAAACAATGTTTACTTTTTTCCCCACCAGCTGGTTATTTTTATGGCAGAAAATTTTTGCCACATGTGGATCAGACAGATCTCTATACTCTGGTTTCCAAATTATGCAGCCCAGGGAAACTTACCAGGATACTGGGCTATAACTTTCAAGGGAGATAGTGACATCTGTCATATTCTGCAAACTTCTAGTTGGAGGTAGTTCACAGTTTCAACATCAGTTCCTACTATCTTATTTTCCATCATACCATATCTTTGCAAAATGGGTGTTCAGTGGCTATGGTGGATAAAAAGCAGGTACCAGGGCCTCCCTGGTGGTGCAAGGGTTAAGACGCAACCTATGAAGCAATCCGCAGCCACTGTAGCACAAGTTCAATCCCCAGCCAGGGAGGTAACCCACATGGCGCAGCACACCTCTCCTGACTCACCCGCTGCTCCCCTCAGCAGTGTATTTTAGTCAATCTGCCAGTTCTGTTCCCCACTCTGTCTCTGGTGAATCCTCTCACTCCACGCACCTATGGCCTATACCCCAGTTCTTGTATGCATAAATAAATCTTTAAAAAATAAAAAGCAGTTGCTTACCTTAATTTCTGAAACTGCAGTTGAAGAAATTCTAGCAACCAATATATACTTGTCAATCAGCAACTTTCAGTATTCAGTGCAGTTACTAAATAGTCATGTACACTTTGAAAGTCTACATTAATGTTCACCAATCATGAAATATAAAAAATAACCTAGCCCTATGCTTTAATCGCTTAGAGATAATTTCAATGTTTTTATGGACCACCTTCACCTATATTTTAAAAATAATCCATGTCTATTTTTTAACAATTTTGGGTTTTGTCAGTGTATTTGTGAAAGTCCCCCTTGACAAATTCTAACCTCCTCTTGGCCGAATGAGAGCATAAAAGGTCTAGTTCCCTGTGCCTCCCCTGTCCACTTTTGAACCCCTGACAGAAATAGCCAAGTCAAAAGCTGACTTACCGCAAAGAACTCTAAAGGAATGGGTGCCGGCAATTTTTCTTTAAATCTCTCGTTAAACTCCTTGCCACCCAATAGCAAACCAAAAACCATCAGCCCGACGCCTAGGGAACACACGTTGAGGTTTTTAACATTCTGCAACACAGCAACTGTACTCTGTAACACAGTGAATACTGGATGTTACATCAAGAAATAGCCCCCAAAGTAGACAAAGTCACTCCAGTGCACTGATTCACACCAGCCATCCTGTTATTGGACATTTCTAGTAAAAAGTTCTCAGGCTGAAATCTCTTTGTAGCCTCTACCAATAAGGAGGCAGTTTAGCTCAGTCACATAACTTTATTGTTGTAATTTTCACCCAAAGTCTTGCAGTGTTTTTGTTAATGTCCCAATGGAGTATTATAAAATTCAGAGCAGTAAACTTTAGGCTGAGTACTGAGCAGGAGCAATGGATGAGGAGGTGATATCAGCAAAAATAATCCAAAGGAAAGACAGAAAAGTTTTTGGGTGCTAAAAGAGAGAGAAATCACTGTTAACAGATGGAAAAAGAATTGGGTAGGCTCTGAAGACAAGAGAGGCTCAAGTTTAGAAAGAAGCCCTGGAAGTTCGAGAAGAAAGTAACTTAATTTTATCCTAGAGTTGCAGTCATAGCACCCCAAATACAGTCAGTACACATCTAGACCCTAAGAAAGTAGTTTGCCACTAAGCCCAGGCCACATACCTTTCCTATCAGTGCCCGGAGCATGCTTAGGTGTGCTTATTTTTTCTATTTCCTTTACAACAAGGCATTTAGGGAAATTTCACAGTAAGAAGCATGTTACCAGCAATAATGGGAAATGAAGAATTTAGTTATTTAGGGAATGCTCCTAGAGTCTAATTTCATTCTAATTAATGAAGTACTTGATTCAAATGTTACTTCATCAAAATGACCTTCATGGACCTCTAAACTAAAGGTTTTCAACTTTCACAGCAGCCTGTACCTTTTCTTCATAGCACTAAATGTAATTTAGAGATAAACACATATTTATACAGTTAACAGTTTACTGTCTGTCTGTCTTCCCACCAGACTATAAAATCCAAGAGGGCAAGGGCCATATCTGTTTATTTTTATTTATTTTTTTAAAGATTTATTTATTTTTATACAAGAGCTGGGGAACAGGCCAGATGCATGGGAGGGTGAGAGGATTCACCAGAGACAGAGTGGGGAACACAACAGGCAGACGACCGAAATACACTGCTGAGGGGAGCAGCGAGCAAGACAGGAGAGGTCTGGCGCGCCATGTGGGAATCTCCCTGACCGGCCAAGAATTGAATCCACGCTGCAGAGCCTGTGAACAGCTTCACAGTGCTGCGCTTAACCCACTGCGCCACCAGCGAGGCCCCATATCTGTTTATTCATTGCTATGCCGAGCACAGTGTCTGGCACACAAATCTGCAAAGGTCTTTTTTCCCCAAGAATAGCTTTAGTAACATCTCAGAAGTTTTGATACGTAATCTGTTAACTATCATTTGATTCTAATTACTTTAAAATTTCTGCTTTATCCATTGGTTATTTAGAGGTATGTTTTTGGTTCCAAATGAATGGAATTTTGGAACTATATTTATTTATTGATTGCTAATTCTATAGCACTATGTGAAAAAATATTGAACTCAAAATTTCATTTTCAACATGATCAATTATTACTATAGTCCCCTATGTGCTTGCAAATAATTTATATTTTCTTTGAACTGGGTACAAATAGCCTACACTTTTAGTAGGTTAAATTAGTTGATTGTGTTAATTAACACAATTACTTACTTTTTTTGTTTTGGTCTACTTGAGTAAGCAGTTTTTGAGAGAGATGTCTTGAAATTATTTGTTAGTTCCCAAAGAGAGTGATTTTGTCTTAAGAAAAATCTCCCTCTTCAGCTAATCAGGGTAAAGATACAGTAGTGAAGTAAAGACCTAACAAAAAATTCATTGGGAGGAAGGCAGTATCACATATTACTAAAATGGGACTTTATGGTTTAATTCCTCTTATAGAGGTCTTCTTGGAAAAACCTTAGAATAACTGAATCTTTTCTGTATTATTGAAAATCTTGGTAAAATGAAAAGTAAACCTTGAAGGCAAAAGGGATACAGAAGGGGGAGGAAGGGAGAAAAAAAGGAAAAACAGAACCAGTAAGTCAGGAAGTTGTTTACTTACATACACCACTGAAAAGATCCCACTGTACCGCTTTGTTTTAACTCCAAACAGGTATCTTAACATGGAGGTGAAGACATGCACAGCTGCTGCGGTGGTAAACCCACGGACCAGGGGCTCAGTGAGATATATGGCCACAAATCCAAACCTACAGACACCTAGGCAAAACTATTTTTTTTAATGACAAAGAAACAAATAAATCACATGATAGATCAGGAAGTTGTAACCAACAGAAAACATACAATTTTTTTTCTGGACCAATTTCTAACACTACAAACTTGTATGTGCAACAGGTAAGTAGTTAACAAATCAATCACTGGTGATACAGAGAACAACTGGAAGTTTGGAGTAGTTTGTCCCAGAGACTACTGGCCATGCAAGGACCTTCCCTGTCCTGAGGAACTGAGGGCACATTTAGTCACATCACTGCTTGTTTCTACCAAGTAGAAGATGCTTTTTCCCATTACTAACCAATTCTGTTTTGAGTTTTTCTTGCTTTTGGGATCTCTAAAGTACCCAAATAAAACAAGTTACTAATAAATATCAGTTTATTATTATTATTTAAAAAAAATCAATTTAAATAAGGCATGCAGTCTTCCTGAATGCTCCTAAATGGTGTTCTTGAAAGCTGGTCTTTCTGAATGCTCCTAAGTGCTATGAACACTGACTCTGGATTTTTGCTGGCTGACTCTGCCCACTATGTAGTAGACCAGCCAAGAAAGAGGACACAACAGATATTTGTTAAATAAATAATCATGAGCTCACTACCCATCTGTGAGTTTTACCTGAATGATTCCTGAAAGTAAGGTTACAGACATGGCGACTTTCACTCTCAAGGCATCTCTTGCTTCTGTACCATTAGTTGTGTTTACTCCTCCCGGAATGACTATATCATCTGGTACTAATCGCACAGCCACAGCACCAATCATGAGACTAATAACTGCAAATGGACCTGCAACAATGAAGCACTAATCAAGGAAACCATTTTTAGTGTATCTGATGTTGTTGCTAGTACAGCAAGAGACACAGCTGAAGTCAATAAATCACTATCCAGCTAAAATAGCAGTGCTCTCCTTAAGCATTCTGCTCCTGGCTTACAAGCTGTGTGTGCATTTACAAGCTTTGCAAGCTGTGTGTGCACTGACTGTTCTCCAAAAATGACCATGATGATATCTTCCATCCCACATATTCTTCTAGAATCTTGACATTTCCTCCTTAGGAGATAGTCTAATTCCTCAGGGTGGACTTGTGACTGACTAGTAGACAATGACTAGAATGACTGACTAGACTAGAATGTAACAGACTTGTGACTGACTAGAATGTAACAGAAGAAAGTGTGTGACTTCTGGGGCTAGGCAACAAAGGTGGTGCAGCTTCTAGTTGAGAGATAGAGCCCCCGTATGGGAGAGAGCCCCAGTTAGGACCACCTGGGGAACTCCTGGGACCATGTGGAGAGAGGGCAGGAGGAAGAAGAAATGGAGGGGAGAGGAGCAAGGAGATGGAGGAAAATGGAAGGGAAGAAGAGCAGTGGGAGAGGAGGGTGAGGAAAAGAGAGAAAAAGGGAAAGGGAGAGAGAGATTTAGCTTTCTTCTAACTGCTCCAGCACCAGCCCCTGGTTCTCCACTGCTTGAACCAAGCTCACTTAGAGGAATGACCCATAGGAACGATGAGAGATAATGAAATGATTGTTGTTTAAGATTCAAATTTTGGGAATATTTGTTACCAGCAATTGGTTAACTGATAGCAGCCTTGTGCAGCACCAACATCATTATGAAATCCGTATAAACCTGATCCTAAACAACCATGTACAATTCAGAGCCTAAAATAGGATGAAAATGCAATACATGCTTAGTAATTAGGAACTTGCAGTACCACTTTATAACATAGAAAAAAGAAAGATCAGATGGGGAAGAATTGTATTAAGAACTGAAATATGTATTTCCCAGATTTTAACAATTGCTGTTTTACACAAGTGTAAATTTTCACTATCCCAAAAACTATAAGAATGCTGTGAGTTCCAGAAATCCTGGGGGCAGAATATGTTTCTAAAGCACCCATTAGCATATAATAACAAAAGTTATCACTAAACAGATGTTGTAATAACAACCATGTGTTTTCTTTGGCACAATGCAAAGCTTGGAAGGAAACATACTAAAAGATTGAGTATAAGCCTTTACCTATGGATATATGTCTGGAGGTTCCCAAAAAACAATACATGATAACAGGATAAAATGAAGAGTATAGGCCAAACACTGGAGGTACAGCTGCCAACATTGCAAAGGCTAAACCTGTGGGATTAAAAACGAAAGAGAAAAGGGCAGATCATTAGAAAACAGATGGTTATATATGTGTTTTTCTGTTGGTACTTTATCTCTGATGAACAAGAAAAAGCCATTTTAATTTAAGCTGATTTGTCTAAATCTGCCTGCCCTTCCACCCCAATCCTACATGTAATCCTACATTTGTGCTTGGAGAGTCCAGTGGGAGACAGTTTTTCTTGTCATCTTTCCTTTGCCAGGGCATGCAGTTTTTTCCTGCTATCTTCTTCCACAATTTAGATGAGGGCACGTGACTGGTGCAATTTTAATCTGCTGTTGATGCCCAATTGCTGGCTGTTATTCTAATGGAGTGTTTTTGTGGGTTGTTTAGAAGCCCCCTTTTAAGGAGGAACTCCCACTGTACCAGTCTCAGTCAGTGTAATGCCCCTTACAAGTTCCAGGTCCTCACACCTCTTGCAGGTTCCTTGTAGGGGCATACACTCATCTGTAGGCAGACTCCTTGGGCAGGTACATTTCAAATGGGCCAACTCTGGTTACCTGTGCCCACTGGAAACTCTTGTCATTATGCTGCCATGGGCAGTTCACAACACAATCTTTTACATGTCTATTTTTCCTCCTCTTGCAAGAATTAGGCAACAGTGTCCACAAACTCCAGGGGATACAAGTCCAGTGTTCTGAGAGGTTCCTTTGGAGTCCTTCCTTACTTTAAGTTTAGGATGACAGAAATTTCCTCTCTAGAAAATTCTTTTTCCAAATCTTATATCAACCTTCTTGCCTCCTTACACATCCTGAAGTGATGCACTAGAGTTTGGTGTCATTCACTAATAGCTTTTATAGATGGCATGGCATCCTTCTTCAGAATGTGGAGGCAATAAGCACCTTTCATTCTTTTCTTGGGTCTCAAACAAATTTCTGGGACAACCAGAAAGATCAATGAATGTGTTATGTTGTGAAGAAAAAAAATTTAGCAAAAGAAAAGGTAGGAAAGCATCCCTATTTCATATGTAAATTATAGTAAATTAATGAGTATTTTCCTAAGTTCATATATCACATATAAAAATCACACAAATGCAAGGAATTCAGTATGTAATGGTCATTGTAATCAGAATATCAACTAATAAGTCAAGAACCTTCACAATGACACTGCCTCAGCAACATGTTCACTGAATGACTGTGTAACTTAGCAAGATGTAAAGCAATGTCCATTTAGTTTCTAAAATGTAACTGCAAAATAGTATCACCACATTTTATTACCAATATTTCCAGGGCTTCTAAAGGGATGAGCGTTTATGAAGAATTCCTTTACACAGGCAAAACGTACTAGAATGATATAAAATCTGATTTTGCCACCAGGATTAAATTGAACGGAAAAAAAACAAGATGGTGGTAAGGAAACAAAAGGAACACATTCTACTGACCTTGAGGAAGCTGAAGCACACCTGTGCTTATGCCAGAGACCAAGTCACCCAACACATATTCCTTGAACTTGTATGCTGGCAACCACTTCGTTATGGGTAGGAACATATAAACGATACTTCTTATTTTCTTAGGAGTACATCTAAGGAGACAAAGAAGGAGATAAAATGAGGCATATTTCTATAAAATTCACAGCAACACATTGCCCCTTCTCATATCCTGAGTAATAATGAAAAATTAAACAATTAATGTTGAAGATGAACTTTCCACTCTGCAGAGATCAGAGACTAGAAGAGTTGCTTCTTGCAGTAATATTTTAATGGGAACATCTGAACTGGCTCCATAATAATCCTTTACAACTGACCATGACAAAAAATTATCTTCAAAATAATTGAAATACATTAGAAGTTACTATTTTAACAAATGAAATCCTTAATGTACTTTCTGGGCTAATGTAAAAGTGAGCAAGGTAGTTATTTACTGATTAGGTTAAGTTTTGAATGTGGAACCACTGACTAGCATCTGCCCATTTAGTTTTCCCCTTCCTTTTCAAAATGGAGGGATATATATTATGAGCTTTATGAACACATGTTCAATGCTTTAGGGTCTTTAATTAGGTAAACTCAAAACACCATTTGTCACTGAAGTGTAATAGCTAAGTTTACTTCTGGTTGTCTTGCTTAGGTGGGATTCTAGGCTGATAAAACCACAGTCTTGCATTTAATCCCTTGTATGGCTCAATTAGCTCTGAAACATAGACTATGTTCTGGGCCTTGGTCAGCCCTCTTGCCTGACTATGCCAATAATCTAAGACATCACTGAATAAGAGAATGAACAGATTAATTCATGAGTCTCTTTTGATGGTCATACCTAGTGCATAGGGCCACTGAGAAGTAAACACAGGGCACAGAAGGTATGGTCCAAAAGGCACAGGAAGCAGCATACATCAGATGGTTTGGTTATGAAGTATGGTAACTATCAACAGCACACATGAATCAACATTCCCAAGCATGCATAAAATGAAGACTCACAGGACACTAAGGGTCTTGACAACTTAGGTTGGGGACTTAGATTCAGGGTGTTGCCAAACCTGAAGTTAGGTGGAGTTGTTGGAACATTCCTGAGAGACAAACTGAAGAGGCAGGTATTTTGAAAATAGGTGGAACATTTGGAAGTAGGTTGTTTATATAAACTTTATGTAGATGTAAGACATAGTGGAAACTTAATAAGTTGGTGAAATATATCATGAAGCTCATGGTGAGACCAACACAGACCACTAATTGTGTGGATCGCTCTGAAAGTCATAAGTGCACACTATTTGGTTTTTTCTCCACTTCACTAGATTTTTCTCTATGCATCAGACTTTGCTTCTCTCATACCTGAATGATAGAATAAAGGAAATAAGTTAAAATACAACATACGTGAATGCCTGTTTCAGCTTATCCCCAATGGAATCAGAAACCTTGTCTTTCTTGTGCAGTCTTTCCTGGAGCACCGGATGACTAAAGATGGGCCTTTCCACATAGTACTTCTGGGTTGCTGCAAGGATTTCATTTTCTTCAGCATGATCCATAGTACTCTGAAATTATTCATCAATAGCAGGAGACAAGCATTTCCTCAGTGTCACTAAGGGAGAAAATAAAAACTCTATTTCAGATGCTGAAGCCCTACTGCTGATTGTCCCAAAGCATCTTTTCCTTGTAGTATTTATTTTAACTTATTTATTCTATGTCTCTCTAAGGACTTCTTCATCATTGGACCTAACAGTGTTCTATGTATAACAGGCACTAATAAACAAAATGAAATCAAAATCAATAAAAAAGAATGTGACTTATTGCCTCCAAAGGTAATAAATGGGTGATGTGTACACTTCTAACAAAAGGTTATAGTAAATTCAGAGGCTAAATACTGCAGTCGGTTGGCCCTAAGTTCATATTAGGTGAATTGTAAACCAGGTCAACTCTGACCATTTACATATCAAGGAAACAGAAAAAGAAGTAAGATCAGTCCTTAAATTGACACAGACTCTTGAAGGTATATTAGCCTCCTTTCCAATTCAATTACTCCTTATTCACAATTGAGAGTTGAGATATCCCTAATGACTTTTGTGAGATGATACCATTTAAAAACATCAATGCAATTTTGTCTTAAAATTGACTATGTTGTCATATCTAAGACTGTTAGGAATTTTTTAAAATTTTATTTTTTGCTATCTAGTGACTACTACTTATATGTGTTAAAGAAATGACTAAGAAATAAAAATCAAATATATTTGTGCATTGGAAATATGTATGAGAATGTTCACTGCAGTTTTATAATAGTGAAGAACTGGTAAAACCCCAAATGTTCTACCTGTATGCAATATAAAGTAACATTTGGTAGAGTCATAAATTGAATGCGATATTGTAGTCTAAAAAAGTGAACTAAACTTATATATCATCAATAAATCTCAAAACTTAATATTCAATAAATATACAAGGCATAGATGGATGCTTCAAGGGTGTAATTATTTAAACAAAATTGAAAAACTTATAAGCAATAATACATTGTTTATGGGCACCTGTAGTAAACATACGAAAACATATATAATAATACTGAACACTGAGATGGGGATGGCGACACCTCTGCAGAGAAGGGGAATGAGACTTGGAGAGAGAAGGAGTATCAACTAACTATATCTCCAACATTTTCTCTTGTAAAAAAGAATAAGCACAAATAAGCAAAATGTCAAGATTTGATTAAGCTGTGTAATCAAACTGGTGTTTGTTAGGTAATTCTTTGTGCATTTGAATGAGATACTTATAATAAAAAAATTAATTGCACAGCAACAACTAAAGCTAGTGATTCCAAGTGAAGGAAGTTAATAAGTGGCACAGATCTGGGGGCATAGCATGAATCAACAGTTTGTTGAATTGCTGATGTTGGTCAAGACAATTCTCTCACGCTGAAAAGCCTTTTTACCAAACTGAAATTGCATTATATTCAAATTGAAATCTCTTGTGTGATCAACCACAAACCATTAAATAAAGAAATACCTATGGCCAAGGAAGTTGAAAATTCAAGTGCTTGTAATAAAAGGCAATTCTATCTGTTAACAGCAAATGCAACCAAATACCAATAGGGATGACAGGACAGATAAAATCCTCTGGAGAAAGAGGATTTTGCAGTAGAATCTGACAAGATTGTATGTCTGACTTTTTAGGGTTAGTAAGGCTGACTGGCCACCTCTCATCTCACTTCTCATGGTCACTCTAGGAACTATCATAGTAGCCAGGGATGTCTGATGTTGATGGATGTCAGTGGAGTTTGACACACAGCAATGCCACCACTTTGCCTTTCCCCTACTCCCAACTCCTCCAGAACATTATTGACAGCATTATAGAACCATTTGTAATTCAAACAAAATACCATGCTGCTTTAAGGCATTTCTTTCTCTTTACTCTCCTTCCATTTTCCCACACCTTAACCATTGGATCTTTCAAAGCCCAATTTTGTCCTTTGCTTCCTGAAGTCTCCCCTCATCCCTCTGTGCAGTCACACTCCAAACTTTGTATAATTTTCCATTTTTCTCCCACTTTATTATTGGTCTCCTCTTATAGATTATAAATTCCTGGAGGCAATACCATACCCTGAATTCCTAGGACATAGCTCAGTCCTTATCTCTTAGCAGGTGATGAGTAACTGATAAGTGAATGAAATTCTTTGGATTGGAACAACATAAATGTTGATAATGTATGCTGTGCTTCCTCTGTTATTTAACATTACAGAAGATTAAGTCTAATATAAAATTTTATTAATTTTTTCTAACACCTCTTCTTGGGTCTCCTGTCCTAGTTCAGAAAGATAACTCCTTCCTTCATAGCCACTTAAGAGGATAAGACCAGGGAGATCTGAGGGAGGTCTAATAAGAATTGGGCTCTATCCCCCTCACCCTCCTCCCCATTGCAAAAACCCAGTTTTACCACTGATTTTGCTGTCACCCTGCACGAATTTGCTCAGTTGTCAATGGGATGAATTGTGATGTGCATTGTCTACTCTAGGCAGTGGAGGCCAAACCTGACCAATCACCACAATGGGCTGGGGAAGGCTGTGAAATACAGACTCTGAACCTCCTGAGTTAGCATTTTCAAGGGTGGGGCTGGACAAAGGACAATGGAGAATTCACTCTGTGTGGATGTGGGCATGTGTCCCTGTACCCATGTGGGGTGGCCTTCTCTAAAGATTTCAGAGCAACAGAATAGATTTACATGGAAGTGTAGCAAAGAAAATAAAACATTGCTAAATTAGACATTCTTATCCTATTCCCCAAGGTCCTCCGGCTATGCCTGACAGAAATTCCTCCTTTACATTACTCCAAAGGCCATCTGGCACCCTCTCATTTCTCCTCCTAGAAGCTCACAATTCCTTCTACTTCATTAACCAGGACAATTGTGTTTTCAAGTTTCCCAGGAGATTGAAATGATCAGCTAGGTGGGTATTTGGCATTTTAAAAATACTGGCTTTTAATTCTAGTTAAACCTGGAATGCCCTCAGGTGCTTTTAGAAAACAGTAATGCCTGGGCTCCAAAGCAGACCAATTAGTGCAAAGCCTTTAGGTGATAGGGGCCAGGAATTTTTTCCAAAGCATCCTGAGATGATTCTAATGAGCAGAGTTAGGAATCACTGATTTATAACCTAACAGAGAAATACATATTAAAAAAAAGCCACAAAGAAATATTTGAAAATAAAAACCAATTATAAGTTTTTAGATAATTAATGAGTCAGTTACATGATTAAAAGCTAAAAGAGATCTTTTTAAAAGTAAACTTTAGAACATATACTAGAACATAAAACAATAGAACATAATAAATATAATATAATGTACCTGTTGAAAAGTACATGAAATAATCTTTAAAGAGGAAAGAATTAGAAAAATGACATGATTTAGCAGTAAAAAATGGTTCTTTGAATTTGACATTTTCATCCAGGGCTTTGATTCTCAGCCCTGGCTACACAGTGGGATTACCTGGGCAGCTTGAAATACCACCGATGCCTGACTGTATTGTCAGAGATTCTGATTTAATTGCTCTGGGAAGCAGGCAGGGATTCAGCCTTTATAAAGTTCACCAGGTTGATTCTTACGCACAGCCAAGGTTCAAAACCACTGACTTAGGGGATGACATTACAAACACTTAAACCCATCTACCCAGCCAAAGGAAAAGAAAAAAAAAAAAAACAACAACTGAATAGCATGTAAACTGTGTGCAATGCATTTAATTATTGGATTTACTTATGTGTCTTTGAAATATTTAATAAAACCACAGAAGAGAAATATCTAGCTTAGGCTTTTCAAGCAAATTCTTGCTTTTTATTCTTACAATCTCATAACAAAAAGTAGCTCTGTGTAGGTGGGCCCAGCCACATTCACTATGCAATGTGTTACAAACATTTCACTCAGGTTTGAATTAAGAGCAAATCTTTAAAAAATATGAAATTCTCAAAACATTAAACAGACTTAGGAAAGCATTAGGGTAAGTAGTCTCTGTAGAGTTGCCAAATAAAATGTGTGATGTCCAGTTAAATTTGAATGTCAGATAAGCAACAAATAATTCTTTGTTATAAATATGTTCCAAATGTTGCACAAGGCATTTTTTTTTAAAAAAGATTTATTTATTTATGAATACAAGTGCTGGGGTACAGGCCAGAGGTGAGAAGGGTGAGAGGATTCACCAGAGACAGAGTGGGGAACAGATCAGGCAGATTGACTGAAATACACTGCTGAGGGCAGCAGTGGGCAAGACAGGAGAGGTCTGCTGCACCATGTGGGTAGCTCCCTGGCCAGGGATTGAGCTCATGCTGCTGGAACTGCGTATTGCTTCATAGTGCTGAGATATAACCCCTTGCGCCACAAGGGAGGCCCCTGCACAGAGTATTCTTATATTAAAATTTTATTCTTTAACTGGGTATCTTAAACTTTTTATTTGCTAAATCTGGCAACTGTAGGTTAGGAAGAGTTAGAGAAGAGAAGATTCCCAAATATGTTTGAGGTACTATAATCTATGTCCTCCTTGATGTATCTGGCAATTTAGAAATGTCTCAACCTGGAACAGAAAGAGTTGGGGGAAGAAGTGAAAATCAAAATCAACAAAAAACTATGAACCAGAGACACTCTATGGGGGGTAGGGGGCAGGAGGGGAGGGATTGGGGTCAAAATAAGGGGGTTGCAATTGTATGGGGAATATAAAAATAAAATTTATTATAAAAAAAAGAAAGAAAGAGTTGGGGGAAGGATAGAATCTGCAAAGGTGATGAGGATGTTATAATGAAAGACTGCCCTTTTGGGGAACTTTTTATGCTTAAACATGATTAAATAATTAAAGACTTGAAAGCTATCAATGAACACCTTATCAGAAAGAGAGGCAAAGAAACCAATGGACCAACACTCAAGATCAAATGACTAGATTGTTATCGGACAGATAAGCTTCCAGTATGCTGACTGAAATTATAAATCCCCAAGTTGTAAAACTAACTACACAAGCCTTCATATGAGGAAAGTTATCTCTAAGAAGGCCTATAGGGACAACACTTCTGGTGGATCCTCCAACAAACATACTAAAGGTGGAAAAGCAACGTGACTTACAGGTGCA